GCGACTGCTGCCGCTGCTCCTGGTGCTTCTGGGCTGCCTGGGCCTTGGCGTAGCGGCCGAAGACGCAGAGGTCCATGCAGAGGTAAGACCCCCGCCCTGCCCTTTGGCTGCGGGCTGGGGGCTTAGAGAGAGAGGCGCCACGCCCGCAGCCTGAGACGTGGAGGTTGGGGGAGCGGAGACGCGCCCCCTGTTCTGGGCCGTGGCGGGGAAGAAAGGGGACTTGGCAGGCTGCCCCTCCCCAGCTCGCCCTCTGCAGCGCACCTCTTCCCAAACCCTGGAGGGCGCAGGGCTCGCGCCTCCCCGCTACTCCGAGTACAGCCCTGTTCTGGGCACTGAGCCCCCACCCCGGTCCCCCCACATTCAGCCTGTGTCCAGGGAGCCGCTTCCGCCGCCCCCAGCCCTTGCCTCCCCTCCTTCCTTCCCTCCAGGGCAGCCGATTCCTCGAGAGCCCGGCTGGCGCGCAGTGGCGCTCTTTGCGAGTGGGGAGGGGGCTGCTCTCGGGGACAGCCACAGGCGGAGCAGGAGCTGGGCAGCTGCGCAACAGCGCTCCTGCCCAGGTAGCCTCTCGTCTGGGTGATAGCGAGGTGCACACGGCGGGTCGGGATGCGGGGGGATGGGTGCAAACAGCTGAGGCAGCGGACTCGGGTTGCGGGGGCGCTTTGGCTACTTTCTTGCGCTCTTGCGAGGAAGCCTGGCCACGCCCGGGCGGGGTCCTAAGGACGGACCCTGCCTCCCACAGCGCTTCCTTCCAACAGCCCCCCTACGTCGAAGCCCCGGGTGGGAGAGGGTGGACCCCACGCCTCTTTTCGCTAGGAGCCCTCTTGGCGTCCCTCCTGGGGCCCCGCTGTGGATGGCTCCCGCGGGTGACCAGGCGCGGCATCCCGGCGTAGAGCCGGGTCCAGCCAGCGCCCCAGCTCCATGGTGTCTCCCGAGCGAGGACACTGAAGGCACCAGCTCTGTTGCCCCAGAGCAAGAGCAGGGTCCTCTCTTCCCCGACTTCTAAGACCTGCTCCCTGCCCCAGATAGGCGGGGAGAGGATTGGGCCGGGAGTAGGGAGACAGAACTACCCGGAGCCGCTTCTGCACGGTGCTCAGGCCTTGGTGCCCTTGGGCTGCCCGGGCTGCGGGCCGGAGCGCCGTTTCTATTTGCAGCTGGGCTGGTGCTCCCTCCCTGGCCCACGGCGGCTTTCCCATCTCCCCGGGCTCCCTGGGAGATTTTTCCGATGGAAGCTTGCCCTTCCCCTCCCTACTTTAATAAAAGCATAGAGGAAGGGCAGGGAATTCCTCCTGGGCTCGAGTTACACCTCCCAGCCAGTTCCCCACCTGCTCTGTCCTCCCTCCCTGGCCAGGCCAGGGAGAGCTGCAAGGAGCCAGGCCCTGGCAGGAGGCAGGATAGGAGCCCCGCCCCAACCCAGTATGGCCACCCTCCCCCACCCCCCCCCACCCCATTCACACAGGCAGGCAGGAGTTTTAGGGGGCTCCTGTTGGTGAGGATTACCCCTCAGCCAGTGACCCAAGTACTGGGCGGAGAGTGCCGTTTGGGCCCACCTGCCACTCTGGGCTGGAGTGCCAAAGAATTTCAAGTCATAATCCCACCCTTGAGTTTCTAATTTACTTAGGGATGGTGTCTGTACATAGGAAGCAGTGATGGAATTTGATGGCTGTGCATTGCTAATGGCACCCTAGCTGGCCAGGAGCTGCTCTGGGGTGCAGGGACCTGTAGTCGGAGGGGGCTTCACTCTCTCTCTCTTCTGCTTTTCCGGTTCCATCTCACCCCTACCCCAGCCCCCCAGTTCAGGGAGTGCCCACAGCTCAGTGCTGCCAGGGAAGAAGCTGTGGTTGCATTATCACAGACCGTGCTCCTGATCTGGAGATTGTGACTGTCCTGGAGCCCTACTCCTGGGGAGACACTTTGGTTGGACCTGGGCAGTGGCTGGAAGAGACCCCGGAAGGTTTAGGAAGCCCTGAATGTTGGCAGCCATGCAGATAGAGGGCTAGAGACAGGTGGAGTATCCCAGCTCCTACAGTTGGCTTTGGGTACAGGCTGCTTCTGGAGTCCCATCAGGTCTGGCCACATGTGGGCCCAAAGAGTCAAATGGCCTCAGCAGCCAGCCCATCTGCCAGGAGGCTGTGGCCTCAGACTCCTGGGCCTGGCCTACACCCTGTGTCGAGCCTCCCTTCCTCGGAGAAGGGCTGGCTCTCTCATTCTCACCCCAGCATCCGCACAGCTTCAGGCCTCCAGCTGGGTCACGGCTGGGACCTTCTCGGAGCAGCTTGGCAGTTGAGCCAAGGCCAGCCCCTCTCCACTTCCTCTCTCCCCTCCCAGGGTGGAAGCCACGGGAGTTTCGCAAGGCTGAGACATCAAGGAACCTGGCATGTGCTAGGAACTGAGAAACACCAGGCCCTAGCCCACCACTGAGCTGCCCTGCCCTATCCCACATTCTCCCTTAGATGTCCGGTCCCAGTCTGTAGTCATTCCGGGCCAGATCCCCACCTGGCTGAGGTGCCCACTGTTGTTCCTGCCCTGCAGGGCTGAGAGTCTCCAGGTTCACCAGGGGAGCTCTTATCTCACCTGTCTCCCCCTACCCCCTCCTCCCAGGCACTATTCAGGCCCTCAGCCTGCTCTGTGGAGGTGACTCAGGCTGCCAGAGTTCACAGGTGTGGTGCCACCACCACCAAAACAGATCCACCCACGCTTCCTGAACAGGCCCACGAGTATCTTCCTAGCCCCTACCCAGCCACAGAGCAGATGAGGCGGCGGGGGGGTGGGGGATTGGGAGCGTCGGCGTGAATTCTCATTTCGACCTTCAGGTGAGCCACAGTCTCGGGCTTCCTGCGTTTCAGTCTCTACTGGTACTTCCATGCTGGCTCCGGCGGGCCCCACTGGTCTCCTCTTTCTTTTAACAGAGCAAAACTACAGATGCTGTCTTTGTCCACCAGCTAAGAAAAGGGGGTTAATAGCGGGGCCTTGTCATTGGGAATCTACAGAAGCTAAATCTTCTCCCCCTCCCCTCTTGTCTCTGCTTTTTACTCTGTTTTCTTGCTAGTAGCAAATCACTCCTCTCCATGCTCTGTGTCAAGACCCAGCGAGAACTGGTCTGATTGGCACAGCCAAGGACCTAGATCTCATTGGGCCATGCCTTTCACACCCAGCGCTTGCCATGTTTCCGAGTTGGGACTGCCCTTAGGTCCAGCCAGTCATCTGTCTCCTTGCAGAGAACAGCCCAGTGTAAGCTCCTTGTCTGAGCAGTGTATTGGCCTGACCTTCCCATCGTAACCTCTGAACACAAATAACCTCCTTTGCCCAACCCCACGGGATGTCGATACTTAAAAGATATCCATGAATGTGGAGAGGAGCAACATGGAAATAACACGCTATCCCCACCCCCAAAAGAAGACTTTCCCCAAAAGCCCAGTGCCCACTGCTGTCTCTTATGCCCACTCAGGATGGCCACACTGCAGGCATGGAAAAGCCCCTCCCTGCCAAGTGGTTTGTTCTGGCTGTCCCTCTGTGGCCCTTTTGTTGTTTGGTCCAGATGTTCCCTGCCATCATCACCTCTGCCCCGCTGGGAGTTTGACCTCTGCCTCAGGCTAGCTGTGGTGGTCGCTGTGAGCACCACTACTTTCCAGATCAGATCAGAATGGATATCCTCCATATCATCCCAAGGTTTAGGTGATTCCCTCGCTTGGACACTCCAGCAGGAGCAGTGCTTTGGTCCTGGAGATGTGTTTTCTGAGTCAGTAAAGACAGGGAGGGGTTGCGGACCCTTCTCGTATCTTTCTCCTTTACAAAGAGGGTCCTGGGAGAAGCCCACCATTGAGTGTGAGGACTGGGACCCTGAAGGCGGCTGAACACTCCAGACCTGAGACACAGTAGGCACCATCTGGCTGGACAGCCCTGAGTGACAGCTCAGATAGGGCTGCTTCACAGTGGGACAGAGGTTCCAGGGATTCCTGAGACCAGAGGCCATGGAGCTGGACCCGGATCCCAGAGGCAAAGAGGGATGCCTCTTCCCTAATCCCATGGCCCTCATGGCAATAGAAGAAAAAGTGTAAGAGACCCAACTCAGCCTCCAGTGAGGAGGACAGGTGGATGAGCCCCTGGTTCCAGCCATTAGCCAGCCCTTGCAGATGCCCCCCATCCTGCTGCCATTGGCTGGTGGTGATGTAGGCCGAGGTCTAGATCGCCTCTCCAGGGCACTGGCACTGGCACTGCCTTGTCTTTCCCCTAGGAGTGACTGTCACCCTGTAGGGGTGAGAGTCTTAACTCCACGTTCAGCATTTATGAGCATGGCACCTGATACATAGTGCAAAACAGTGCACAACACGGCGGTCTACACCCTGTGTCCAGAGCCTCCCTGGCAAAATAGTGCAAAACACAGTGACAGAAGTGAATGGCATTTACTGTTGGGCAAGTCACTGAACCTGTATGAACTTTAGGATTCCTATAAAAAGGGAATAGCAATAGTATATCTGTTTGATGGAGTTACTGGGGAGATTCATTGCATTTATGTGCAAAACACTAAACGCTATGCACAGCGCCCGGCACAGCAGGTGTTATTTTTGAGCACGTTCAACATATTTGTGTCTGTCCTGGACACAGCCTAGGGATGTTTTGTAAGCATTTTCACGTTTAATCCTTGTATTAACTCTTCAAGTGTATATGCTGTCATTACTCTATTTACAAAAGAGAAAACTAATACTGTGAGTCGAGAAAAACGACCCCCACATTCCATAGCCAGGGAGTGGCAGAGCTTGGATTTGAACCCCGCTCAGTCTGGCCTGGAACCCAAGCTCCGAACCCCCATGCAGGGTTAAAGGCTACAGGTCAGAGCCTAGGGTGCCATCCTGTGGAAGTTCCACCATGCAGAATTCTGCTGGGCCCGATCCAGGTGGGAAGGAGGTGTCTGAGGTGGAGCCAGAGCTGCCTGAGCTGTGTGAGCCAAACACAGCTTTGTCCCCAGGCCCACCCAGCCTTGCCCCCATCTGTCCAGCCAACCAAGCTCTACCCTGTGGACAGCCCCATCTAGGAGTCAGCACCTGCAGGGAGGTTTCCAGGTGAGGACCCAAGGCCGGGCCCCCA